ATATATATATATACATATACATATGTATATATATATATATACATATACATACATATATATACATATATTATATATACATATATATCTATGTGTACATATTTATACATATATACATTTTTTTTTTTTTTTTTTGTGAAATGTGTCTGCACACAGATGGCTCTGCTAGTGCATAGCCACAAAGGAGTCAATTAGCACACCTTGTGACCTTACCTCATTTCACCTTTCCTTGACTTGACGGTAATTTTCTTCTTCTTTTTTTTTTCTTTTTTATAATGATATGAATATCAATGGTGTTTCTTATTATATACATTATAATCATCATTATGTTATAGATATTAGTAACAGCAAAATAAGATAACATAAAAAATCAAGGAAAAGGGTAAAGAGGCGAGATAGGCAGTAATCGTAATTGACTCACTGGTGACTTAGTACAAGTGTTGCCATATATGTGTAAAAAGAATTATTAAAGTAAACTCATAGTGGGTATGTACACACATGCCATGGCTGTCAGATTTGGGTTAATCATATGTGTAAACAAAACACTATTGATACAGTTACTCTTCTTGTCAAATACATATAGGTGGGGTTTCTAATACTTTCATTAAAAAATGCGTACTGTTAACCATATAATTTCCATATTTACTAAGATAAACTATCAAAACATCTGATAAGATATCTTGGGAGTTATCTGTGTGCATTAAACCTTGTTATAAACCACAGCAATAAAATTAAAATCTTTCCTCTATAGACAGAGAGGTTACCTGCATCCATGGTTTCAAAAAATCATTAAATCACCAATACCAATTTAATTACCAATACCAAAATACAAGAAAAGGCATCACATGAACTTAAAAGATTTTCTTTAACATCATAAGGTTTAAGATTTCTTTATGCAACCTTATACCTGATCAACACACACCCACAGTAAGAATCAATAAGAATTTCAAAGTCTGTTTAAGATGGTCAGGTGGTGCAAAGTACATGGTCTTGTCTCTACACTGTTTGTATACACTAGCCCCAAGATACTGACTAAATAATAACAGACAACCACCAACTGTAATACCACACTCAACCACACTGACCAAATCTATAATCAGTCCAACTCAATATCTGCCTACCTTTCTCTTCTTGCCCCCCACCCCCCCCCACCCCATCCCATGGACTCAGCTTCTCAGGCTATCTAGATCTCCAGCATATTCTGTAATAAATATTTTAATACATATTACAGGCATAATAAGTGTGGCAATGCTGACATACACAAGTCAAAAGGGAAAGACACTAGTCTAATAGAAAAGAGTGTTTGATAGAGTACAACTGATTTATATAATCTAGATCTTATGTACACTTGTATCATTTGCAATCAATTAGAACATCACTGACCACAATATTTAGAGAGGTAATAAGGGAAACCAACAGGATGAAAACCAAAAAATACATTTAAACCACCAACTATCTTATCTGGGATGACAAGAACAACACAACATACAAATTAATCATAACCATAGAACACTCATCAAGTGGAAAATACAGTCTGTCATAACGGTGACCAGGCCACACATCACTTCAATATAAAAAAAACGCAAATGAACTAAATTGAAGGTTCTTAAATGGTATTTTAAAAAAACTGTAACTCAAGTAGTATACAGTGAATGTTCTAACCTCTATCAGTCGCTATGGTTACCAAGATTATTCCCACAGCAACCACCAGCCCAGAAGCACAGGTAAAGGAACATCATATTTCATCTAATCATAGAGGAATAATATTACAATGCTATCCTCTTACCCTTCATGCCTTTCCCTTTTTTTTACTGATCAAACATTCTTCATGTTTTCCCGAATCTACTACTGATCAAGCTGATGATAAAACAGATCTTTTTATATCTAATCTAGAGACCCTACTATTGACAACAAAATGCAGTTTACTGAGCATAATACCTAAATCTCTAAGTAAATTCATAGCAGTAGGTTATCTCATCACATGCTACGATTTACAGCATGGAATAAACTAGACTGCCACATTTTTAAGTTTGTGTATATATATCAGCTACTTCAAAGTTTAACCCAATGAGTGCGGGTGTCAAGACTACAATGCCATGCCCACTGTAATAAAAGTTTTATATATTGTCTTTACACATAGAAGGCTCTACAAGTGTTTAGTCACCAAGGAGTCAGCTATTAGCCTTACCTATCTCATCTGTGTACCCTTTTCCTTCATTTTTTGAAAGTTTCACTTTAACTATTTTATTGTCTTTGATGTTATTAATACTTTAATAACATTTTAATAATCAAATTATCAATAAGAATGATAACAATGTCAATACTAATAGTATTGGAAAGAAAAACGCATTTTCCCACCAACACAAGGAATGAGGAAATCAGGATCGGTCACTAGGGCCAGCTGATATACTCCTTGCTGCTGAGCACACTTGGAGCCATCTGTATGTAACAAAACTCACTAAAATCTAAAGGAGGCAGTAAAGAAGCCCACTGACATATGCAACAGCACAAGCCACTAGTATGAAGCAAATCAGAAATCATGTTACCATCGCCTTGACAGAAATCAAGTAATGTAGCAACAGATATGAAACACAATAAGAGAAAACATTATAACATAAATGATAATTACCACTGTATAAAGTAATCACTATTTTGAAGGTTAAAAAAATATTTAAGGAAATTAATAATGTTACCCTAGTTCTACCTAATCTTACATAAAACCACTGTGTTTACTTATTTCACCGTTATTTTACCAAAAGATTTGCTAATAACTACCAAGTGCTTAATCCAGGCAATTGCAAAAATAAAACAGGAAAATCTCCACATTATCTGAACTATACTCTTGAGTTTCTTATCAACATGGCTTAGTATCAAGAAGGAATCCTTGTCTAATCCTATATTAGCAATAAATATCAACTACTAATTAATAAACTGTAATATATTTTGTCATATATATTCTTTAGGTGATGATGATATAACAAACATCAGCCCAAAATAAAGATCCTCCACAACTGTCTTATCAAATATTCCCTTGAAATTTGCCAGCCATATGCAAAAAACTAAGGATGTGAAAGAATTAGATTTTTTTCTCAAAAAGATCAAATTCTTTGAATATGTAAGATTGCACTAAATACCATTTGTTATGATATGAAGAACACGATATATATAACCAAGACATTCATTTGTACATATCTGTCTGGTCAGTCTTGTGCCTCCCTTCTTCTATTAAAAAGAAGGTCACACCACTTGATATTATATGCCATAATTTTTTTTTTGTACCTATAATATAAAAAGACCACACATACCATTACACAACTGCGCACCTCCAGCACTCCAGCAAAGATCAACAAACCTTAAACATATATTTCAGTACAACAGACCTTCCTCCTTTTGAGAATCAATCAATCAAGCACAGCCTCCACACCTGTTGGCACTGGCAGAAGCAAAAGGAACTAAACCATCAATATTCTGGCAAGATAAAGCTCGTAGACCTATCTCGACAAATAAGAAAGTAGTCCAGATTCTGTTTTGCCAAAACATATGTGATGGGGGTTTGGTGGACTTTGTTAGTGCCTGAAGAAGAGGTTAAAAGCAAAATCAAAAGAATCCCTTGGCACAATCTAAACCAATTATTATGTTGCATTGGAGCATAAGCTATCCATTACAGATCACTAGAAATTCAATGGGATCTAGATGAAACACTGCTATTTACACATTTAGATTTTCAATTTGTAAGAACTATCAAATATATATCTTACATATGTTATCAGAAATCTACCAGTTCTTTTGGTGGATGTTTCATTTATATCTTTATCTCCTTAATTCTTTCTGTAATAATTCTTATCTCACAATTCATTTATGACCTGTACATGATCTACACTACCTGGACACCAATATGAGCAGTTGCTCTAATGACCTATTATTAATATTAAAAGAGTTATTACTACACAGTAAGTTATAGTTAGTAATCTGAACAATCCACACAAACAATATTGCCTGAACAATGTGAACCTCCCAATTTATTTAATCAGTACTAGTTATTAATGCCTATTTTACTTTCTTCATGATATGCACCAACCAGCACTCCTGAGATCAAGACTGATGCTCTTACTTTCACCCTAACAGCAAGCAGTTTGTTTTAATTCTGGTAACAATTTCTAAATATTCAATTTCTAAATCTAAAAGAGATAACATCTGTTTTAGATCTAGTAGTTGGGTAGACATATCCTGCTTACTGATTCATTTACTTACTTATTCATCACCTTCTAAATGTTGACACCAGCTGTTCATAAAACAGCCTAGGAAGTATCTCTTATAATCATACTTTCTTTGACTTTTCAAGAATTTGAACTTCTGCTTTACATATCTAATGTAAGCTGACACTTTAACCATGTAGATAATATGTAAATAATCACGAAACATATAGCCAGCAAAAGCAGATATCTTCATCCCAGGTAGATGCTTTACCTCCAAAGATACCTGAATTATCCACGAAAAGTAAGATAAGAAGAATAACAAGTAATAATAAACCAAAAGAAACAAACCTAATACGCGAAACGAACAGAAGAAAACCGAACTTTCAATCGCACTTTGGAGAAATTTGTGATTTAGTGTCTTTTCGTCTGCATTTTCTCACGCCAATTTCTACACCTGTTACACCTCGCGACCTGAACCAAGGTGTGGCGAGCAGGTAAGTGCAAGTAACGCCTTCACCCTCCTCGAAGTTCTCTCTCAGCAACGAGTGTTGATCAAGCATGAACGAAGAGACCTGCGTGTTCTCCGTGCGTGTTCCGTGTTCCTTCCCGTATTAATGTCATCTTCACGGGGCGTTCACCGATCTCAGGGCCTACGATTCTTTTCCCGATTTTCCACTATTGTTGCCTCTTATCACTCCTTTTCTCCCTTATTTCCCCCTCTGCACTGGCCTCCGACGTCGCCTGTGGGCCCTAACGCCACTCTAGGATCTCACGGGAAGGAAATATGCGTAAATAACATAATATTACCTTGTCTTCCACACACCTTCGGCGAGACTTTGTTTTCA